AATGTGCCACCAAGGCTCCTTATTTTATATTTACACAATATCTCACCTTGGGCTAGCCAAAATGTAAAACTGCCTTAATATTCTTTGTTTTTATAATCATTGCAAACTTTTTGAAGACCCTTTGTATATATGTATATAGACATAGTATCTATATAATATATGGGGGTAAGTCAAAAGGTATTATTATACTAAAGGTTCCAGTTCATACACGCATGGGTTTATTTCAAACAAAAAAGGTTTATACACGATGGCTGCGATCATATCTCTAGACAAGTTCTCTCAATAACATTTTGGCTCAGTTTTGTTAAACCCAAAATCAAGGGGGTTGGAGTGTAGGCCCAAAGCCCATCTATAGACAAATGGATATCCCCCCACAGAAGCGTTATAAGGAATGATTCAACCAAGGTGTAGGATAGCACCAATAAATCACACATCATTCCTCTAGTTCCTGAGTGCTTCCTTCCTCCCACTACCATGACCCAGTTCTACCTTACAAATCTGGTTAGACCAGAGAACACACATTGGTACAGAGAAGAGATCTCTACACATGTAACTCAGCACAGATAAACCCCTCCTCAGGAACAATACAGTAGTGGGAGTAGCGATATCATGAGGATAGGAGGATGCCTGGGGAGAAAAGAAAGGGAGAGAAAGGGGGAACCTATCACCAGGTTGGAATATATAGCCCCACACAAGGGAAAAAAACAACAGAAATGTGGGTGAACAGAGACAACAGACAGTGTAAGATACAAAAAAATAATAACAATACACAATTGATCAAGTATTCACAAATGTAGGAGATGGGAGGGGGAGGTGAAAAAAGACCTTATTTATACCAAGGGCTCAAGTAGAAAATGTTTTGGAAATGATGATGGCAACATATGTACAAATATGCTTGATAAACCTCATCTTTATCCCTCAGAGAAACTGATGGTTTTGAACTGCTGACCTTGTGGTTTGTAGCCCAGCATTAACCCAGAATACCTCAAGGCTCCTTTAGTTTTGTTAGGCATCATTCAAATAGAAAATCCAATAAAAATAGTGGTTTATGAAGGGATCTGCTGGGCCAGTTAAATTCAAGACATAGAGGTAACATCAGGTTATAAAGACTATTTTGGCGGGATTCCAAAAGGGTAAGCTTAACAGATTTTCTCAAAGGACAGAAGACAATCATTAGGACTTACTCCAAAGAAGTTTTGAGAAAATTGAAAGTTGCATTGGTGAAAAAAAGCCAAGTGAGTTGCACCAAGAAAATTTTTTTTCATCATCACCATATACCTGAGGGTCATTCTTGAGATTAGCAAGGTTGTCCTAAGTGAATTTCATTGGGAAATCTTATCCCACCTACCCTACAGCCCTGATCTTGCCCTTCAGACTTCTTTTTGCTGCCAAAACTCAAAGAATATTTAGAAGGAACACGATTTGATTCCCTTGAAAATGCCAAAACTGCCATTTTGATGTGATGTAAAAAGGTAAAATTGGGGGAAGAATTAAAAAGATAGAAACACTACCTTCAGAAGTACATAGCCCCAAAAAGAAAAAGTGCATAGCCCTAGGTGGAAAATATGTCAAGAAACAAGTTTCACATTTAAAAATTTTTGTTTAATAAAAGTGTTGATTATTTTGTAGTAATATTTTAACTTACCCTCCCCGTACTAGATTTAATGCAGAAGCAAACAGAAGATAATCTAGTTGCCTTCTATTAGATGAGACATTTGCAAAAATGTAAAAACCACCACAATTTTCTCACTAGTTTTATTTTAGAAAATTGTCATTTCCATTAAAATGTTGTTTATATTAGCCTGAAAACATATTATTTGCATTTTGAGTCCATAAATATATCAAGATGCCTTAAATTTCATTTCTGCAATAACTTATCAAGTTATTTGGCATCCTACATCATTTTTAAGAAATCCCAAGATCAAAACATTTCGAGAAGCACTACATCAAACACTCAATACCTTATTTTATTTCCTTTCTGAGTTTTCAATCCCTGCAAATCTTAATATGCAGTTGTAGATGTCTAAATAAAGTTGAGAACAGACATTTTGCTTTATTCAGATGCTCTGTAATACAACCAAGCATAAGAAACAATCCCTACTTAAAAAGAAAAAAATCTCACTGAAATTGAGTCAATGCTGACTCATAGCAACCCCCTGTGTGTTTCCTGGGCTAAAGCTGTTTGCAGGAGTAGAAAACCCAGTCTTTCTGCTGTGGAGCCACTGGGTCATTTTGAAGTGCTGACTATGTGGATCACAGCCCAACATGTAACTACTATGCCACCAGGGCTCCTACTCCCCACAAAATGTCAGGTTAAAATAATGCTGTATTTGCCAAAAGTAACGACAATAGTCTACCACCAACCCAAAAATAAGCCCACTGTCATCAAGTCAGTTCTGAATCACATAGATTATAGGGACAGAGATGTGCTCCTATGGGTTTCCAAATCTGTAATTCTTAACCAAAGCACTCATTTTTCTCCCTCTGTCTAAGTGGGAGGTTTAACAGCTGACCTTGGGATTAAGCAGCCTAATACTTAACCCACTTCGCAGGGCTCCTTCTAGTAGCATAGTACAGAATTTATTTAGAAATAAAGGCAGAGGTACACTGTGCCAAGAAAAAGTATACACAGAAAAATATGGAAATCTGAGCTTGGGGTCAGGATGAATATACTATAGCCTTTATGTGAATTGTCTACGGCAACAATTCTACTGGAGCTACCACCCTCATAGATCTACTAGCGAAAGCCATGAAAAAATGTCTTCTTTTAAAAAAATGATTATCCAGGGAGGGGATGAGCCAGTTAGGGTGCAATGTGGCAATGATGAAAAATACAACTTTCCTCTAGTTCCTAAATGCTTCCTCCCACCCCACCCCAGCCCCCACTATCATGATCCCAATTCTACCTTGCAAGTCTGGCTAGACCAGAGGATGTACACTGGTACAGATTGGAACTGGAAACACAGGGAGTCCGGGGCAGATAATCCCTTCAGGACCAGTGGTGTGAGTGGCGATACTGGGAGGGTAGAGGGAGAGTGCGTTGGAAAGGGGGAACCCATGACAAGGATCTACATGTGACCTCCTCCCTGGGGAACAGACAACAGAAAAGTGGGTGAAGGGAGAAGTCAGACAGGGCAAGATATGACAAAATAATAATTTATAAATTATCAAGGGTTCATGAGGGAGGGGGAAACAGGGAGGGAGGGGAAAAAAAACGAGAACCTGATGCCAGGGGTTTAAGTGGAGAGCAAATGGTTTTGAGAATGATGAGGGCAATGAATGTACAAATGTGCTTTACATGATTGATGTATGTATGGATTGTGATAAGACTGGTATGAGCCCCTAATAAAATGATTAAAAAAATGATTATCTCTTTAGCAAATCTTAATACGGTACACTTAAACCACTGAATCATATGGTCCAAGAATTATATCAATAAAGCTGTTGAATTTTTTAATTAAAAACTTAAAAAGCAAACCATTAACCTCATATTTTAAATTGTGCAATCTGGTCACCTTCATTATTAGAATAAGTACAATCAGCTCTGTGTTGTAATGATTTAGCAAATTAAAGAGGGCCATCAAACAATGGAGATTACTAATGTTAATTAATCCTCAGCTCTTTTCTGTAGCATAACTTACCAATTTAAATGCCTAGCACAAAACTAGAGCAAATTTTGTCTCAAGAACAAATCGCAAATTTTTTCTCTCATTTCCTTGCACACTTTAAGGTTAGAATTTGCAGCTTCCAAGTAAAATACCTCTTAAGTACTTTTCAGGCCTCCTCCCATTAATGTCTAGGTTTTGAAAATTCATAAATGTTTCTACTTTCAAAAATAGTTCCACTGGTGCTCGTGCCCTATATTAAGCAAAAACTAGCTAGCTGATGAGAAGAAAAGGTGGATATATTATATCAGAAATTCGAGTTTTTGCCACTTTAAAGGAAAACAAATTTAATGCTCAAAGAAAAAGAAAACCATACCCTACTATGCCACCAAGTTATTAAAATTCTTTTACTGGTGTCTGCACAGGCTAGTTTATTGACTTTTCATTTTTGTATACTATTTCGATTCCGTGTGCTGCAATGATTTCCTGCTAAAAGAATCCCACTTCAACCAGCTAAAGGCTGCAGATAACATGGTTCGCAGCACTTCTCAAATCTCAGCATTTTTACTGCCCCCACCCCTAAAGCATATACTCGATTCTCAGAGTAAAGGAGATGCAATTATTTAATTTTTTTAACTCGCCATGCCAGTCTGCGAAAGCACGACGCACCTTCATAATAAAATAACCTTATGAATAGCGCTAACCAGCCAAGGTCCAATTCCCGGGCCCTCTACGGTTCCCCGTATCTAGTCCCAAGCAGCATCACCGGGGCCCAAACCCTCCTCGCCAGCCCAAATTGCCCTTCGACCTTGGACCCCGTCTACTACCCCTCCTCCGGAGCAGCTCGGGGTCCCCGCACCCCGCCCCGCACACTGCAGCCGACTCAGGGTGCAGCAGGCCGGTTCCGCGGGTTGCGGACGGGGTAGGGGACTTAGAGACAGCTCCGGGACGACGGGGGAGGCGGGCAAGGAAAGATGCCAGAGGCGGGGCCAGGCTGGAACTACCTGCGGGGGCCACGCCGACGCTGACCCAAGGGTCCCAATGGCTGCACGCCACCTCGGGGCTCGGAAAGCCCGGCCCTCACCCCGTCCTCGGTCATCGTCCCTCGTGAGCCCAGACCGCCTAGCAAGGGGCAGCAGGTGACGCGGCACGGACGGCCGAGGCGTGCGGTAGTTGCCTACCTCAGGCGACGGCGTCTCGGAGCCTCCCACCTCCTGGCCAGGGGCGCGCGGCGCCCGCGCCCGAGGAGTAGGAAGAAGCGTGCGAGACAACGCGACCCAGAGGGTGGGACGAGAAGAGAGCCGGTCGACTCTCCCGAGGGGCTGGGCAAAGGGGAGCTACAGACGCAGGCGGCGCGACAGCTGGCAGCGGGGCCCGTCAGGGACGCGCACGTACCTTCCTAATTCCAGTCAGACCGTTCCGGTGGAGCCAGCGCGCCTCACATCCGGGTTCCAGGAGACACTCAGCTGCTTCTGCCGCCACCGCCGCCTCTGCTGCGGCGCAGAAACACTGAACTTCCGGCGACGACGGCGACGCCTCGCCCGTCAGATGGGAGTTACCTGTGACCGTCTTGGGTGCGCTTGCGCAACGCTCCTCTTCACACGAACAGGCTCAGCTGACGTGCGCTGCCAACGAAGATGGCCGCCACGCTCGCTGCGCGTCACGCAAATTTTCAGCCTGGCCCAGACGGCTCCCGGACGTCGGGGAAAGTCGAGCCAGCGTCCATTCTCAGCGCAGGCGCAGTGGGAGGCCTCGCGTGCGCGCTTCCGCGGGTGGGCGCCTGCCCGGGAAGCGGCGGCGCCCCCTGGCGGCCGCCTATAGCACTTCCGGAGGGCGGAGTCGCACCCCCAGCTGTGGTGATTCAAAAAAGATAGAAAGCTCAAACTCGCAGCCTTTGAGTAGCAACCCTATAGAACAGGATGGAACTGTCCCTCTGGTGCGATGTAGCAACGATGAAACATACGACTTTCCTCTAGTTCCTAAATGTTTCCTCCTCCCCTACTATTATGATCCCAATTCTACCTTACAAATCTGGCTGGGCCAGAGGATGTACACTGGTACAGATAGGAACTGGAAACACAGGGAATCCA